GAGGGAAAAAAATTAACTTAAATGATTTTAGCAAATGGCTGCAATATAACAAAGAGTGAAAAATTTAAGGGGGTCTGAATACTTTCCGTACCCACTGTATATATATATTTATTTTTTTATTTTTTATTTTTTTATTTTTATTTTTTTTTTAATTCCCCCTAATCTTGCAGAGGACCGTGGAATCCTAATGTTGGACTAAATCAGCATATATAATGGTTGCAACACAAATGTAATTTAGAAAACGAACCCAACCCTAATGCTACATTTGTGTAATTCTTCCCGCTCAGGAAGTTGCAGAAAGAAAAATAGCCGTAATGCAGTCAGTTCTTGCTGTTCCTGGCTCCGGTCCCAGACTTCACTTCGACTTGCTCTGCAGATCATGTGTTCCAAAAATACCTCCATCTGCTCCTGATCCAGGGACAGTTTTCCTTAGTTTGCACTGATCTCCGGCTCTTTACCGCAGCGAGCCAAGCTTACCCAGGAACAGGGTTTGGATTCTGGGAACGGTCCCTCGCCGGGACTCTCCAGTGACAAACACAGCCAGTTTGAAGACTGAAACTGTGGGAAAGTCCCACATCAGCAGTCCTCTGCTCTCCAGAGCGGTTTAGAGACGCAAACACAGTCCAACCCAAAATGAGAGGATATGTGCTCCTGCATTTGCCCATGCTTATTGTCTGAAGCCTTCAGATTCATTGCAGTCAGGCGCTTTGTATTCCCATGTTGGCGTCTTGTATTTTTAACTCGTGTGTGTTCGTGCTGATTCAGGATTGAAGTCACGCTGTGAAATGAATGGAAATGTACCACTTCTAGTTCTAGTTGTGTGTTATTTGTGCGGAGAGAGACACATCTCTCATTACTTCTGCTCTGTTTGCTTCAGTAGGATACTTTCTGTGGAAACGGCTAGCAACTACGCTTTAAAACGTGTCTTTTCTTTGCCATTTTCAGTGAATGTGGTACACTTTTGTGTCTCATTACAATGTTTTTAAGCATTAGACACAGAAATATTATGTTGAGAACAGTTTGATATGTTTCAGAATGAATCTAGCACAAGTTTTAAACCCATAAAATATCTGTGCAACAACAACCCCACCCAAAGGGTTTTAAATGCATGACGCAAATCATAACTTTGACATTAATATATTAAATCCATTTTTGAGGAGTAACATTTTATTACTATTATTAAATATTTTGATTATCAAGAGTGTATGCTTTTCTTTTTATTCGCGAAATGTACAAACACCCCAAAATTAACATCATTTGGATATAATTTAATTTGCATGTCTATTTAATTTTCATTTAAAGCACACAAATCAAACTGTATTTAGACATTTGTCTAATTTTGGTAACATTTGCAAATGAATAAAAGTAAGATGGCTCATATGATATTTTTAAAAAAAGGGGGAAAAACAGTTTGAGCGTCCTGTTTTGTACTCTATTCATGGAAAGTGTCTGTTTATATTTGGCTTTTAACATGCTTGATTTTGCTGTAAGAGCACAATATGAAATTACATAATAATGTGTTCTTGTGGAACTCAACAGATATAAACAACATCGTCCAATCAGCTGATGGTCCTTCAGGAAAGCTTTTCTGTGCTCAGATCGAACCAGTGCAAAGGCCATCAAACCGTCCTAATTTTATACTGCTGGTGTTAGCATAGCCTGTAGTGAATACTTGGGAAGGTTTAATTAGGCTTAAAGTCTGAAGGGATGACTTTTTAAGTGTCATGTTTAGACCTGATAATCAAGTCAACATTCACAAGCCATTTCCGCAAGAGACTTTGGTCTAACAGTGTGTTCAGTGAAGGAAAAGTGAGCGTTTCTCACCGAAATGATTCCAGACCCGTGGGTTTAGAGGAGCTCTTATAGAGCTGCAGCATTACTTGACAGAAGAACTGAGATTAGATTTGTATTCAAGTGTTTATAAGGTAGTGTGTTATATTGTAGTGTGTGTGGAGTAGTACGCACTGTTCATCTTGTGAGGTAATCTGTTTCTGGAACAGTCTGTCCGTCTGACATTATATCTGAATGAATGCACTGTAAGAGAGAGCCAATATCAAATTAATGCGCTGAGCTTTTTAGGCAGTGCTCTTTGTGCACGGCTGAAATTTAGCAGCGCTACTGTATTCTGTCACAGGAATTAAAATAAAAACCGATGGTAGCCTTTCTTTCTGTGTGCAGTCAAACTAGGCATGAAGTGCTTTCTCACAGTAATTTCTTCTTTCCTAATGGCGACATTTCCAAGAAACGTGGTCATGTTTGTTGTTTGCTGGATTTAATTTTTGACCGAATCTCACTGGCAGGATTCTCCTGGTGTCTAAAATGAGGGAGCATTAGTTAGCTAAACTAGTCTAGATAGTATGCTCCTGCTAGCCTGCTGTGAGAAGTCATGACTATTATGATTTATTATGTTCTGATTAAAATAGCATTGCATACACTTGATAAGGCATTGATTTAGTGTTTTTGTCAGCTGGTTTTTAGTTTTAATTTAGTCTTAGTCGTGTGTCCTTTGTAGTTTATAATCATATTTACTCAATCTGTTTTAGTCAACTAAAAGTCTGGAAGTTTTAGTGATGAAAACTTATATTAGTCAGGCGGATAATGGCTAAGCTGATCAATTATAATCGTGATTACTGATCATGGTTATTATTGCACTGTCATCTGTAAATACAAATCAGGAGATTGCCAGCTCATACACATGCTTTATTTCACCTCATCTCATTTCCTAATTTATTAAATGAACATAACATACTCTCAATATGAAGACTAATTCCAATATTTCCAAATTATATTCATGTTTTCTTTCTATTAAAACATTGCAAACAAAATAGTCAAGATCATATTTGGATTTATTACAGTTTGTCACTGACAGCATTTGATGGTAGATAGATTTAGTCTCAGCAATTGGGGGGATTTAAACTCTTGACATCTGGCAACCCCAAGCATGAAAACTCATGGTCTGTAAAAAAAGGTCTGTATCTCTCTCTCTCTCTCTCTCTCGTTGTTGTTGTTGAAGAAACTGCAGAAAGTCTTTAGAACGGAGTTTCTATTTTTGAAAATACATTTTAGTTTTGGCTTTTTCATCAAAAACTTTGCATGTTGATACAGTCGCAGTTAGTGTTTAATGATGTCATCTCATCTTCATCTCTTTGTGTTAACAACATTATACTTCGAAGTAGCTTTTTGTGAATATAAAAATAGTATGTTCATATACATGGTAGTAATGGTGATTTGTTGATAGTGTAAGATAAATGCTGATCCTTTTACTTTTAACCTGGCAACCATGTAAATATTTAATGAAACATGAATTTACGCTGGGCTTAAAGACCCAAACCTCGTGACAGGCCGTCACTGATATTTTGGGTGAAGCTCTCTAAATGCGACTGGTCTTTAGTGGGTTTTGATGTTGTCTCATGGCTGTAGATGGTTCTGAGCTGTGTGATGTATAGTGAGTGCTGTGGCAGTATTTGGGCGCTGGACTCACAGGACTCTTCTGTTGAAGGCGTGGGTTGGGAAGCGGTTTTGGGGTGATATTTACTGTCGGCCGTGGGCTGGAGCGAGCGTGTCCGTGTGGATGATGGGAAGGAAGCCATCGTTTTAGCCGCTGGACAGGAAGAGCAGGATGGCCTACACATGGCTTTCTCCTTTTAGCCCCGTCAGACACAGCTTCATCTGAAAACAGCCTCGCTCTCTTGACATGTGCCACCGCAGAGACAGCAATAGGGCTGTGTATCACCAGCAGTCACGATACGGGACTGCATTGAATTTCACCTCAGCAGAATTTAGTAAAACAGCTGTTTATTAAACACTTCATACTATAGGGCCATTTCTAACTATTGGCCGAGCAGGCAGTTGAGCTCTGCATTATGAAGGGCCTCCAGAACTGTACCACAGTACAATAATGGCATATGTTTCATGTTTACATTGTGCACTCCCCACCAGGTACAATATTCTGATTGTTTGCATCTTGTTTTTAAGCCCATAAATGATAATGTACTCGTTCTAAAAATGTTATATTGTAATGTACTCATACTAATATATTTTTTAAATCATCTTTACATTGCTGGTAGGTTATCACGGCACAAATTAACACACTTTATACATTTAAAAAAATAAAAATAAAAATTAGAAGAGTTATAGACAGATACAGTGGGTACGGAAAGTATTCAGACCCCCTTAAATTTTTCACTCTTTGTTATATTGCAGCCATTTGCTAAAATCATTTAAGTTAATTTTTTTTCCTCATTAATATAGATTGAATATAAACATGGATTGAAGCTTACATTTGTGAATTGAGGAGTAATAGAGAGTGCTTTAGCCGGATCATTTGTTCACTTCACCT